GAGGGAGGGGAAAAATGAGGAGCTGATACCAAGGGCTCAAGTAGAAAGAAAATGTTTTGAAAATGATGATGGCAACATATGTACAAATGTGCTTGACAAAATGGATGTTTGTATGGATTGTGATAAGAGCTGTATGAGCCTCCCATAAAATGATTAAAAAGGGGGGAAAAAAACCACCATCAGAAAACAGGAGGGTGGATATCCCCCAACCTATTTAATGAGGCCAGAATTACCCCGAAGCCAAAAACATCACCAGAAAAGAAAGCTGATGACCAATGTCCCTCATGAACATGGGCCTCGAACTCATTAGTGAACTGAATTTAGCAAAAGAATTATGCACCACAGCCAAGGGGATTCATCTCAGCAGATAAGTTTGGTGTGCCATCTCCCAACCAATGTACTACACCCTCATCAAGAGAACACAGGGCAAATACATATGACCATTTCAATGGACACAGAAAGTCATTTGGAAAAAAATCTTACATTCCCTTATGATAAAAATAAATAAAACAAGAATAAAAGGGAAATTCCTTAGCCAAATACAGTTATACTGATAGGTATCTACCCAAGAGAAACCAAATAGCTTTCCACACAAAGACTTAACCTTCGGTGTTCATAGCAACATTATTCACTAAAGCCTCAAAATGGAAATAATACAAATGAGGGAACCAATTACGAAATTTTAAATTATGAATGAGTAGATTAGGTCATAGAGTAAAATACTGTTCAGTAATTAAAAGGTACAAAGTCTTGGTTTATGAGACAGCATAAAGAAACTTCAAGAACGTTATGCAAATAGAAAGAAAAAAAGACTCTGTGTTCTGATTCCAGAGCCCGAGTGGTTAAGGGCTCAGTGCTAACTGAGAAGGCATCGGGTGGAGCCCACCACCCGTCAACGACTCTGTAGGAGTACAGCCTCTGAATCCTGGGCAACAGCTGTCCATGTCCTATGTGTCGCTGTAGCCAGAAGGGACTCGACGGCAGGGGTTTGACTTTAGGGTGGTTTGTCTCGGTTTTGGTTTCCACTCTTAAGCAAATTTACTAAAAGCCAGTGAATTATACACTAACAATGGGTAGATTTCATGGTGTGTAAATACCACCTCAAAAGAGCAAAAGAAGCTGTCTGTGCATGGGTATTTGTCAGGGTCGGCAAACACCTCCCATGCTTTAGGGTTTGAGCCATACGGTCACTGTGGCCAATATAAAACTGCTGCTGTTTAAAAGCAGCAGGTAAACAAACAGGCAATATGTAAGCAAATGGACATGGCTGTATTCCAATAAAACTTTATTTACAGAATCTGGTGCCTGTCCTCAGGGGTTCATTTGCTGACCTCTGAAAAATAAAGGGCCAACAAGCTCCACAGTTCAGTCTCACGCATTGTGTTACAAAAATAATCATTTGAGTTTTACTTCTCTTATTGGCGGATGAGCTGGGGGAAGCCGCAGAGTTACTGGGAGGGTTTTTGTCTTTTTTGCAGTGTTTGTCTTTCATGATTATAACATGAGAAACCCCTCCTTTCTCTAGGACAGTGGGCCCAACAAGGACACTAAGGGTGCACTCCCCTCCCGGCTCTCCGCCCTTCACTGGATGACCCTACAGGGACTCCAGCCTTCCAGGCCACCAGGCTGCTACACAGCCCAGCCGTGATGCTCCATAGCTTTAAGGCAGTGGTTCTCAACCTTCCTAATGCCACGACCCTTTAATACAATTCCTCATGTTGTGGTGACCTCCCAAACCTAAAATTATTTTCATTGCTACTTCATAACTTTAATTTTGTCTCTGGGGGACAGACAACAGAAAAGTGGGTGAAGGGAGACATCAGATAATGTAAGACATGAAAAAAATAGTAATTTATAAATTACCAAGGGTTCATGAGAGAGGAAGCGTGGGGGAAAAATGAGGAGCTGATACCAAAGACTAAAGTAGAAAGAAAATGTTTTGAGATGATGATGGCAACAAATGTACAAATGTGCTTGACACAATGGATGGATGTATGGATTGTGATAAGAGTTGTACAAGCCCCCAGTAAGATGGCTTAAAATAAATAAAACAATTAAAAATTTTTTTAAATGTTTTGAACATGACAACAAATGTACAAATGTGTTTGACACAATGGATGGATGCATGGGTTGTGATGAGCTGTACAAGCCCCCAATAAAATGATTTATTTTTTAAAAAAACAAAAACACTGTCACCGAGTCGACTGACTCCTAGCAACCTCGGCAGGGATTCAGAGCGCGTCTCTCTTTACAGAAGGGGAGGAGAGAGCTTCGTCTTTTTCCCATGGAGTGATGTGTGGGTTTGAACCACTGACCTTGCTGTTAATAGCCCAATACTTACCCCTCTGCCCTCGCCCCCAGTATAAGAAGAGGAACACAAGAAAGCACCACTTACCTATCCCAATGGTTGATCTTCAGGGAAACCAGGTGGTCGATCATGGGCTGGGTATACTCAGGAAAGCCGGCAATGAACACACTGAAAAAGAAAGCAAGCACTTGGAGAAAGGCCAGCGAAGACGTCCGAAGTGGGCTCACGGAGGCTGCAGAACACACCTCACGGTGCACTCTCTGGTCCGGAGCAGATGATCCTGGGGAACGAGAACAGACCGGACGCCTGGGACCAGAGATAGAAGGAGAGTACACCAGGAATATCACACTATGAACTCCCCGACAAAAGAGAACACTTCTGTGAGAGACACAGGCTTTTATCAACTTCCAGTCATTTTACCTTAGTAACTAACAAGGGAGTATCTCAACCCCAAATATTCACAATAAAAAAAAAATATATATATATATATATTCACAAAAATAAAGAGCTGAATTAGAAAAGAACTGATAGAGGACCTAATGCAGGGGGTTTAAGTGGAGAGGAAATGTTTTGAGAATGATGAGGACAATGAATGTACAAATGCGCTTTACACAATTGATGTGTGTATGGATTGTGATAAGAGTTGTATGAGCCCCTAATAAAATGATTTTTTTAAAAAGAAAGAAAAGAACTAATAAAGCATTAATAGGTGATTAATGCTGAGGAAAAATGGGAAGGACACACTAAAAATACAAGTGGAACATTAGTCAAAGATTCTTTCTGGGAAAGAGGGCAAATGTCACATTTTTTAAAATTCTGTCCATGCTGGTTATGGAGAAATGTCAGTTCTGCATGGTCTGCAAGAAGGAGCTCCTGGAACCTGTCCTCGGGACATGCACGTGGCTAAGAAATGCAGTGGGCATGACTTTTCCTCCTGATTGGGAGCAAACAGGCCCTTTCTGAGGACCTGCTGCCGGTTTCGCTGGGACCACTATCAGGAGAGAGCACCTAGGACAAGCGCAGTCGTTCCCCAGTCCCTAAATTACAAAGTACAAATAATCGGATGAGATGTCTACAGTTAGGGATGTGAAATATTTATTCCCTGACCTGACTCTCACACACTCTTTCTTGTTCATCTCATAAGCGATCTAGGAGAACTCCCACTCAGAGCACACTTCGCCACCAAGAGGGAAGAGGCAGCAGTCACTTCCAATTGAAGCCTCATGCCGAGCCCAGTGCCCTGGTGACATGCACAGACAAGCTGTCACCAGCGGGAAGGCAAGTCCGGCTCAAAGATATTCCTCTGTGCAGCACCAGGCCTGACAGCCAGCGTGGACAGACATGAAGGTGTACAGACAATGACCGCCAGACAGCGCTAGTCCCCTAAACCCCACACCGAGTCTTTGAAGGGTGTGCAGATGCCTCACAGCCAGACCCACAGACCAGTCCACCTCTCACTGTGCAATGACCAAGCACAAACTAAGGGTGAGCACCTTCTCCATCCGACTCATTTCTAACTCCTTACACACAGGTGTATTTTATTCCTTGGCCTGTGCAGGATTGGGGGCTTGGGGGGTGGCCAGGGAAAGTCAGCTGTGGGCACTGAAGGCAAAGAAAATAGAGACCAATGCTATAAACTCACCTTATCACCAGGAAACAGGTGGATCTGTTCCCAACAGCAAAATAGTCAGCTGTGGTCAAAATATCAATTCCATGAGGAAACGTACCCTAATGTTGAAATGTGAAATAGGAAAGAAGATGAGCAGTCATTTGAATAAGCATTTCCAAAACTCCAGCCACAGCTCTCACCCAGGATCCAGTTATGCAGAAGGAGGCGTGCGTGGTGCCGTCGCTGACAGGGCGGGGCTGGCACCCAAACCCTCACACCTTGAGCCATGTATGGCCTTTGCTGAGTCACTGAGTCCCTTTAAAATGTTTAATTTTTTAAACTCAGTCACTCCAACTTAGAACATCCTGAGACCTTTCTGTAATGCACACCGTCATAAAATGACAGATCTTGGTTGTTTGGGGGTCCCCCTGGCCTGCCCTGCAGGCCCTCAAGTGGCTCTGTGGAGAGGCTCAGAGCAGAAACACCAGGAACAAGCACTCACACTTTACACAGCAGCTGTGAGAGCAACTCAGAGCTACACACAGTTGGCACCCAAGAACCAACATGGCCAGCTGAGGACAGCAGCAAATCCCCAGAATCAGACAGGCTGAGGGGTTCCCCTGACTGCACAGGCTCTGCCCCTAGTCCCACCCACAAAGCAACAGGTCATATTACCACTAGCTGGCGACTGGATCTGAAAAACTAAAACCCAAACAAGTATTTCTAATACATACATAAATAACAAAATTTTAACCAAGTACAAAGTCTTACAATTATCGCCCAGAGGAGACACTTAGATCTCCAAGGGCACCCTCCGCCCTGGGCCTGGGGAGGTTGTTTACACTTTGTTTACCGCTGGGGAGGTTGTTTACACTTTCTAACAAGAACTACCCCGTTTCCCCAAAAATAAGGCAGTGTCTTATATTAATTTTTGCTCCCAAAGATGGGCTAGGTCTTATTTTCAGGGGATATCTTATTTTTCCATGAAGAAGAGTACGGTACACATTTATTGTTTATTGTTTTATTAAAAGAGACCTCGCGCTTCCTGTGTGCTCCGGCTGCGCTGCGGCCAACAGTGAGCTGCGCGGCGGCTATGGTCCAGAGTCCAGAGTTACAGTAGCTTTGGGGGGCCTTATTTTCAGGGAGGTCTTATTTTCGGGGGGATGCCTTATATTTCAGCGAGAGGCAAGACTGTAAGTAGGTCTTATTTTGGGGGGATGTCTTACTTTTGGGGAAACCGGGTAAGAAGCTCCCGGGCCTAGGGAGAGAAGCTGGTGGAGTCACTGGGGTTCCAAGCAGAGCAGACCTCAGAAAATGCACCTGCCACCAACCTTCCACTGGCCTCCTGTGCCTCACATGACGGGAAGGCCTATACACACTCACGTGCATACACATACACACACTATGCGCACACCCCAACATCCCTCTCCACAGACCTCCAAGCCTCTCCATTGGCACTCCTGTTACAACCCCATCTGTTTCTCAGCTCCTGGGTGAGACCACAGCACCATAATCTGCATTCAAGATTCATTTCCACATTTTATACGGAACTTGGGAAGCTTGCTAACATCTAAATCAACATCACTGTGGTGGTCTGGTTCTCAGTCAACGTGTGAAACCCACCTAACACACAAGGAGCTTCAAAAAGTTCGTGGAAAATAGAATGGAAAGACAAGATTTTCCACAAACTTTTGTAAGTCTCCTGCCCCTGTGTCCCCTCTGCCCACCAAATGTGAACATGGCACTCATTCAAGGACCTGGTAACACAGAGACTGATTCAAGCGCTCTCACGTCACCTCTGGACTTGCACATTCAGTGACAGCATGCCCTGCCCACTTCCCTCTGGGTTCTCTGCTGCCCACCCAGCGCCACTTAGCTTCCCCGGGCCCAGATCCTCCACCACCTCCACCACCACCACCACCTGCCAAGTCCAGCTTTTACCAGCACAAACCTAGATCTTAGGTTCCCAAACTTATTTGGTTTATCTCTTCCTTTTCAGAGAAAAAACAAAAGACCCAGTGTCCCCCTGGCCATTAAAAGCGTTGTTCTTGAGCCCATCACCCAGGATGAAGTGCAGGTCTCTGCTTCTGTGGTCCCTGGGTCTGAATTCCAGCACTGCCCCCAGGGGGCAGCTTCACCCACTTTGGGCAACACACCCCCTGCACTGACTCTGTGAATACCATCCCCTGCATCTGGCTTCGCTGCTGGGACCATACTTCTCTGAAAATCCCAGAGACGACTGCCCCCATCCCCCACCAAGCCCCACTACACAGCCATGCCTGAGAGGAGCAGGTGAGTGGGTGGGCAGCAGTCCCTTGTTTGGCAAGAACTGTGTGACAGGACAGTGAACAAGTGACGAGAGTCCCATGAGCAGCAGGGTCTGGGCACCGGGATGAGGGCACCAAGGACAGGGCTCAGAAGCCCCCAGTCAGTCGAGGACCACGTGTGGCTCCCACACTAACACCCCAAATCAGGAGTCTGAGAGTCAGATGTGAGACTCCAGCATGCGCTGTCCACAGCACAGGCCTCCCGAGGACCCAGCTCCGAAAAGGCCTTCTCTGCTCCAACGCTATGGCCTGAGCAGGACTCAGCACACACCTGCATGTTCAGGTCACCAGGTGTGAAGTAGCACATGGAAGTCCCAGCCCCACCCTGCCTGAGTCCCGGTGGGCCCACTGTCTACATGCTAGGCCCCGCTTCTTCCAACTGGGTGCCTGTGACCACCTGCACGCCCAGCACGAGTGTCTCCTTGTTGGTGCCCATATCCACACAGCCCAAGGACACAGTTCACATCGCCTGGGCAGGAGCTGCACAGTCATCCTGGCCTTTCCTCCTCCCAGAACGGGAGGGTGCTGCCTGGACCACAGGGGTGAGCACGGCTCGCCCACACTCCATCAGGGGCTGGGTTCCACCCTGTCCTCAAGTCTCGGGGTCTGGTGGGCAGTGCCGAGAGCCTGCCTGCCTACCTGGCCTCGTCCCTCCTCTGGAGTCAGGACAAATTCCTTTCTTTCTCCACCCTCGGAGGCCAGCTCAGCCTAGGCCTGAGTCTCTCCTCCTGGGCCACTTCTACAGTCCCAGGTGGCACCTCCACCTGGAGCTCGCCCACCCCCAAGAGCCCTCTGTCCCTTCATGGGTCGGCCATCTTCCAGAGCCTGGACAAGTCCATTCAGCGCCTGCAGTTTGGATTACAGAAGTCCCTCAGTAAAGGCAGGCAGCACCTCCAGCTGTCCTCCACAGGGACCACACAGATGTCTGTCTGCCACCCACCACACAGGAGGCTCAAGTCCCAGAGACAAGCCAGGCAACCTGCGTCTGAAGCCACAGCCTTGGAGACCCCAAAGGCACCTTCCTCCTCTACATACCTTGGGGGTGGGGGGTGGGGATGTCTGTATGGATTTAGAGTTGAGGCAATGTTCACAAAAGTAGTAGGGACATGGCTTGAGACACCACCCCACCCCGCCCACTGTCACTGCTAACCTCTGACCTGTGTGAGGGTCCCCGCCCACCATCTAGAGTGCTGATACGTTAGCAGTCTGTTAGCAGTGAAGCTATGTGAGAAGTTGCCTTCACTCAGAGTAAGCCCTCTCCCCACGTCAGACGAGCAGCGCCCCACTGCTCCTCCTTGCATGGCAGGAAGCTTTAGGAAGGAAGGTTTGCACGCAGCCTTACCTGTCTCCCCACATTCTCCTGGAAAGCAGCCTGGGAACAGGAAGATAAACAAACACAGCAAGGTGAGTGTGGTTTGCATTTCGCTAAATATCAGAAGGTAAATTCAAAACAAACACAGTGCAGTAGAAATGACCCGTGGCTTTGCTTTTTAAACAGAAGTTTTTATTGTTAGCTGCTGGCCTGGGGCTTAGCCGCCTGCTCTGTGTGCTGGTGCACTCGGGGACCACAGCCCAGCATGTCCTCAGAGCAGCGTGTGGGCCAGCACTTAGCCTCATGAGCAGACACTACAGGCCCTGCAACCATAAAAACCAGAGCAGAGCCCAGGAGAGCCCAATTCAACACCCAACAAGCCTTTCATTGGGGGTTTTATTAGCACTGCAGTGAGTACCCATGCAGGCCACAGTCACTGCTGCCCTCTGAAGCTCCCTGAAGGAGAGGTACCTGCTGGTGACCAGGGACAGCTGTGTGGGCACAAAGAAGTGCTCAGCAAGACTCACACCCAGGCTGTGCACAGGTTACCGGGTGACACGATGCTTGCTCCAGCACTGCTCCCTCTTGACAGCAGCAGGGTTCCTGCGCTCTCACAGTGCCCTGCGGGCTATGGCTACACAGCAGAGCAGGCTGACCATGATAGGCCGGTGTCACTGAAGACAATACCCACTTTCTGTTTACCAGCCTGCTGGCCTCCCTGCTCCTGACCCCCAGTGGGGGACCATCCGACTTCACCTGTGCCAGCCCAACTGTGTGTGCCGAGTGGCACATGTAAAAGGTCCAAGGCAGGAGTCAGGGGTCAGAGCTGCAAGAGGTCACATTGGGCAAGGGCCGGCACAGACCCTGAGAAGCTTCCTCCCACTGGGAACTCGGCCAGAGTGGGAAGCGGCCAGCCTGTGGGCAGGAGAGCATGAGCAGCAGCTTCTAAGAGCAGGCTATGGCATCATCCTCGACCACAGGGTTGGGGGGGGTGACAGGAAGAGGGGCCGCTCTCAGGCCCAAGCTGGTCCTAAGCCCACGCTGTGTCTAGACAGGTGCGTCCATGTGGGCCAGGCTGCCTGGCAGCTGAGACGACCAGAGGCACGGGTTGCCTCTGGGCCCACGGGAGCATAGCCCTTCAGGGACTGCAGGCTAACAGCAGGTCTGGGAGGGAAGCATGTTTCTGCGGTGCATGCTGTACTCCTTCTACTACCAGCGCCAAAGGAAGTAAGAGGTAAAAGTGCTAAAACACAGCCCATGAAAGAGGTGTTCATGGGAATCATGCGCACCACGCAGGAATACATTCACTCTTCTGGCAACATAGTCAAAAGTTAAAACTGTGGCAGGATTTATGTGGGAAAGCATTGGGGGAGGGGCAGTTAATGGGGCAGGCAGCCCCTGTTGGTAGCCCCAATGGACGTCTGTTTACCTGGGAATCACTCTGTTAAAAGAGGTAGATAAAAGATACACACTTGTCTGAAACTCATCGGAAAAAGGACAGATTCCCTGCGGGATGGAAAGGAAGGCTTCCTCCTCAGGCCTAGCTCTGATAATGGGGTAGAGGCAGCGGCATACAGGGGAGGCAGCTCGGGGGGCCACCACTGCCCCCACTCCCCACGGCACATTAGACGGCCACATCACCCTATGGCCCGGCCGTAGTAGGCAGCTGGCTCTGGAGAATCAGGAGAATCACACTGTGGCTGAACTGATTTGCAGATTAAAGGTGCCAACTGTCGAGTGAATGAGTGGGGAAAAGTGTCACCTCATCTCAGGGCACAGGAAGGGGTCAGCCGGAGAATGAAGGCAGGAGGACCTCACAAGGGTAACCTTTGGGCTTTCTGTGTCCGGAAGATAAAGCCTAGCCCACTCAGGACCCAGCGGGCTGCCCAGCGCTCCACTGAGCTCTTCCAGGGAGCCATCGAGGCTGATTAACCCTGGACATGGGCAGCAGGGAGCCATCATTAAACTGGATAGATTGGGATTTCTAAGTCCGGGAACAGGGCTGTGACACAACTGAGCTCCTGAATTCTGGCAAGGAAGCCCATCTCCACAGGTCAACCCCTGACCAGAGGGCACCGAGATACATATGCCAGTACTGTAACTAATAAAGGGCACAAGCGAGCCTGGTCTCCTAACCCCTCATTCACCACAAGCAGAAAGATTAAGGAAGGAAGCTGTCTCCACCGAATGCCTATGCTAAGCAAAAATGTTTGCACACCACTAGGACATTTCTCAGCTCCTTCTATGAGGCCTGCACCACCTTGAAGTGTGAAAAACACAGTAAAGAACACTACAGCCTCAAGTCCCACACAGATAAGACTCACACACCCTTGAAAAATGGGGTAGCCAACCTAGCCACACCTACCAAGAGAGGGGCCGAGCCAGAACTGCCTTGATACCCAACCGACTGATCTTCCCAGCAAAAGAGAGGAGGACAAAACCCCAAGTCCACCTCTAACGATGCAGAGAGCACACTTCACAAACTAACATCAGCAAAGCTCCTCACAAGGCAGCAGCAGGAGGAAACTTCACCAGCCCGCTCAGGGGAGGGAGGGACTCTCTGCCCTCTCTTCTCTCTCTCTCTCTCTCTGCCCTCTCTTCTCTCTCTCTCTCTCTCTCTCTCACACACACACACACACAGACTGGACACCTCCCACACACCAAGGAAGAGGCGAGGACACTCCTCACCCAGCATGCACCGGCAGGGGGAGGAGGCAAGGGCATCCAGCTGTAAAAGAAAAGCAGGCTGTCTCTCTTCATAGACGGCAGGCTCCTGTTTGTAGGAAATCATAAGGAACACACACACAAGAACTGAAAAACAAGGTCATGAGGTAACACCACACAGCTCACTGTTAAAATTCTGTTGTAGATCCACATGCTAGAAACAAACATTTGAGAAATAAACTCAAGAATACAATTCTGTTCACAATACCATACACACACATACACACACACACACACACACACACACACACACATATATATTTCTTTTTAGCATAAAAAGTCCAAGTCTGTTCTTAGTTCTGGCACATATCAACCCTACACACAATAGAAAGAAACAATCTCAGTCCTGGGCCATCCTCCCAAGCGGATGTCAGCTGCGGCCACTGTGTTGATCCATCTCATGGAGGGTCTTCTCCTTGTTAGCTGCCCCTCTGTTTCACAAAGTATGATGTCCTTCTCTGGGGATTGTTCCCTCCTGCTAAAACGTCCCAAGTACATGAGATCTCACCATCCTCACTTCTTAAAGAGCATTCTGGCTAAACTTCTACCAAAGACACATTTGTTCAATCTTCATCAAAATCATAATTCAATGGCATTATTTCTTTTCCAGTCTTCCTAATTCATTCCATTTTCACATGCATTTTGAACTGACTGAAAAATACCACGTTTAGGTTCAGCTGCACCTTAAATTCTCAAGGTCACATCTTTGCTTTGGCAGGAGATTTGCCTAATGCATTGTGTCGTTGCATTTCTTAACTGCTATTTCCATGGCCATTGATTATGGCTCCACGTAAAATTAAGTCCTTGATAATTTAATTTTTTTCCCTCCACTTATCATGTTTCTGCTTATTGTGAAGATTTCTGTTTCTCTGTGTTGAGATGTAATCCCTACTGAAGGCTGCTGTGAAGGTTTCTGTCTCTGTGTTGAGATGTAATCCCTACTGAAGGCTGCAGTCTCCATCTTCATCAGTAAGTGTTCATGTCCTCAGCCCTTTCAGCGAGAGGTGGTGTTATCCGTATACTGGAGGCTGTTCATCCGTCGGTCCCGAAGCTGCATTCTTCATGCACAGCTTCTCAGATTATCTACAGAGATTGAATACATATGGTGAAAGGATACAACCCTGACACACACCATTCCGGATTTTATTTTTTTTAATCATTTTATTGGGGGCTCGTACAACTCTTATCACAATCCATACATACATCCATTGTGTCAAGCACATTTGTCCATATGTTGCCATCATCATTCTCAAAAGATTTGCTTTTTACTTGAGCCCTTAATATCAGCTCATTTCCCCCCCCCACCCTCCCCGCTTTCCCTCCCTCATGAACCCTTCATAATTCATAAATTATGATTATTTTGTCATGTCTTACACTGTCTGACGTCTCCCTCCACCCACTTTTCTGTTGTCGCCATTCAGGGTTTTAAACCACATCATATTCACGTGTTCTGTTCCAGCCATTTCCTCTTGATCTAGTTCAAGTTCTGCATGGGCACAATTAAGTGTTCTGAAATTCCCATTCTTCACAAGGTTACCCATAATCTGTTGTGATCCACACAGTTGAGTGCCTTTATATAGTCAATAAAACACAGGTAAGCACCCTTCTTGTACTCTCTACTTTTAATCAAAATCCATTGACATTAGCAATGATATGCCTAATTCCATGTCCTCTTCTGAGTCCAAATCGAATTTCTGGCTGTTCGCTGTTGATGTATTCCTGCAACTACTTTTTAATTATCTTCAGCTAGGTGATATTAATGATACTGCTCAATAATTTTCACATTATGTTGGGTTACCTTTTTTTAGAGTGGACACAAATATGTTTTCCAGTGGGTTGTTCAGGTAGCTGTCCTCCAAATTTGGGGCATATGAGGGCTGCATTCATTTGTTGAAACTTTTCAATTGGTGTTGTCAATTCCTAGAGCCTTGTCTTTCTGCCAATGCTTTCAGTGCAACTTGGACTTCTCCCCTCTGTGCCATCTATTATGGAATATATGCTAATCTCCTGAAATGATGTGACTCTCTGTATTCATCCCGTCTTTTTATGCTTCCTGCATGATGCTATCAGATAAGCATTTAACTGTTAAAAGCAAGGTCAGAAGTTCCAAACCCACCTGCTGTTTCTCAGGACAAAGATGAGGGTGTCTTATTCCATAAAGATGTACAGCCTTGGAAACCATATAGAGGGTCACTGTGAGATGCAGTCAACTCAGTGGCAGTGGATGTACCAGTCAGTATTTTGCCCATCGCATCACTCAGTGTTGCAAGTTGTGGCTTGAATATGTTTCCTTCCGTTCTTTCAGCTAAAAAACACACTGAGTGTGTTCTTTCCTTTTGGTTTTAAAAAGCCGGGTCTTTGCACATATTTTTATAATACTCTGTTCTCTTAAGCTGCCCTCTGGAATCAGGTCTTTGAAATCATCATTTCTTCCGTTCACTTAGCTACTCTACATTCAAGAATAAATTTCAGAGTCACTTCTGACACCCATTTTGGTCTTTCTTTCTTGTCTGTTTAATAAACTTCTGGATGCTTCACATACGATGTCCTACCATTCATCTGGTCTTGAGTCATTAGTATTCAATATGTCAAATCTATATCTGAGATAGTCTCTAAATTCATATGGGATATACACAATGTCGCACTTTGGCTCTTGTGGATTTAATTTCCTTCAGCTTCAACCTGAACTTGCATATGAGTAATTGATGCTCTGTTCCACAGTTGGTCCCTGGACTTATTCTGACTGGTGATACTGACCTTCTCCATTATTTCATTTCCACAGATATAGTCAATTTGATTCCTGTGCATTCCACCTAGCAAGGTCAACACGTAGAGTCACCATTTATGTTGTTGAAAAGGTCCTTCTAACAAAGTTGTCATGAGTCTCACAAGATTCTGTATTGTGATCTCTGGCTTCATTCTTATCATCAAGGCCATATTTTCCAACTACAGGTCCTTCATTTCCAAGTAATTATCAATGTATCTGGATTGCAATGTTTGGTCGATTTCATATTGCAGAAGATGGTAAAAATCTTCCATTTCTCCATCTTTGGCATTCGTGTTGGCTGATTAATGTGAATCATCATCATACTAGCTGGTTTTCCTTGTAGGTGTATGGATATTTTCCAGCCACCAACAGCGGCATATTTCAGGGCAGATCCTGAAATACTGTTCTTGTCAATGAACACCACACCATTCCTTTTCACTTTGTCATTCCAAGCATAGACGACAATATAAAGGTCCATTTCAGTTCACTAATGACAAAGATGTAGATCTCCACACATTTGTATTTCATTTCTATTGGATGACTTACAGTGGTGTTCCTTTAGTCACACTGTAAATTCCATGTTCTAATTATTAGTGGTGTTTTCAACTGTTTCTTCTAATTTGTGTCATCCCACAACAGCAAATGAAGATCCTGAAAGCTTTCCTCTATCCAAATCATGCATGCTGGTTCTTCTTTGAGGAGCAGCTCTTCCATAGTCATGCTCTGTGTGCCTTCCAACCTGCAGAGCTTACTTTCTGCTGCTTTTCCAGACGAAGCCTCACTGCTATTCCGAAGATTTCCACTGGCCAGTTTTTAAAAAGTTGACCATCAGATCCTTCTTCTTCTTAGTCTATCTTAGCCTGGAAGCACCACTGAAACCTGTCACCATTAGTGACTTTTCTAGTATTTGAAATGCTTGTGGCACAGCATCTAGCATCATAACCACGCACAAGTCACCAGACAACTACAAACTGGTAGACAAGTGGGAGACTTACACACCACAAAACTACAAAACATTGGTGAACAAGAGATCTAAATAAATAAGACAACTCCATGATCATGGTTAGAAAACTCTGTATTAAGTGTTAATTCATTAAGATGCATTGTCTACAACTCGAAGTATCCATTGCAATAGCTATTAAAAATTCCAGCAGAATCCATGAGGCCTACACAAATATCATCAGACTCTTCCAGGGTGGGGCCAGTGTCTTCGATGGTTCGGGTCATGTGTCAACTTGACTGGCCCATGATTCTCCTTGGTTTGGCAATTACGGAACAATGTAGTTATCTTCTATTTACTGAAACAATGTAATCCCCTCCCTGATATGATCTGATGTCATCAACCATGGGAGTGTGGCCTGCATCCAGAACATATGGACATTTTTGCAAAGCTCACTGGCTTTTTTTGCTCACTCTAGATCTTGAATCTGGCTTGTCATCATCTGACCTCATGTTCTTTGAACTTCAGCCAATGAGTGGCCTAATGATCAGCCCCTACAGGGAAGGCCTGACATCTGACCCACAAACTTGGAACATTCCAACCTCTACAACCATGTGAGCTGAGCCAACTCCTCGGATGTGTGCGTGCGTAGGTATATGCTAAGTATAACCATATACAACCAGTATCTCTCAAGTACACCATAGAATACCCTACCACCCAGTATACCTCAGGTATACTGTAGCACACTCTAGCATAAGAGAACCCAGAATACCATGTGCACCCAGCATATCCTGGTACATCCAGCATACTCCAACACCCCCATGGTCAAGGGCATTATGCTTGATGGCGTCCCTCTGGTACATTAACCAGCAACAAATGACCCACTCTGCCATTACAGCCAGGTCTCACTCACAGAAGTGGCTCCACCATTCCAAAGGAGGGCCCCATAAGCAATGTCTGACCACCAGGCCTGCCCCAGTACCCCTGAAGTGGACAGGGGCTGATGACTCTCACAGTCCAAAGGCACCCCCAGACCAGGATTCCCAGCAGGGAGAGAATTCACTGGTAATGGGCAGTCTCCACCCTGCATCCGTTGGCTCCATCCTGTCATCCATGTCCTCCTGCTTCAAGTAGTGAGGGGCAGCAGTGGGGGCACTGTGGGGAAGCAGCCTGGGGTGGCAGACGTCACGGCTGCTGACCAGACATTTGTGATCTGAGCTCCCAACCGCACAAAGTCATGAAACAGAAGCTTACCGAGGCGGCTCTTCTGCAGTTCACGTCACGGTCAAACACAGTGGCGATCACGAGCGCACTGTGAGGAAACAAGACGGTCAATCAGGAGGGCCTTGGGCACCAGGGTGTGTTCAGCACCTAGTGCTCTCAGAGCGTACTGTTGCAGCTCACTGCCGAAGCATTGGATCCATCCCTCCTCACCTCTCCTGGCTATGCCTCCACTGCCAAGCGGAAGCCACGCACAGTAGTATTTCTCCCAAGTAATGTTGTCTCCAGGTGGCAAGCCCCCACCAAGCAGCAGACCCCGAGGCATTAACCCTCCCTCAGGTGCCAAGGCCCTCAAGCATCCCCACCCCCTGGGGCCCAGGTACTGGGCTCTTGAAGTATCCATTCCTCCACAGTTGCCAATCCCCCCTGGTATCCCTACCTTACCCCATCCCCTACCCAGTGCCAATCCCCACCTCTCCCCATGACTCCTGAGCCCCAGTGCAGTCATCAATCCCCAAAGATACCAATCCTCACTCCACCCCCCAGGTGCCGGGCCACTGAGGCATGGTTCTCACCAGGCTTCAAGTCCCCATGAATGTAAAAGTGGCTGCACCCATGGTGCCACTGAGGCCGGGGCAGCACTGGGCGGTTCCCCCAGAAGCAGACCAAGTGTAAGGTGGTCAAGAACAGAGCGCTCGTGAAGAAGGGAGCAGCTCTCAGTCAAAGCACCAAGGCAGTACCCCCCAGCCAGTGCAGAGCAACTGTGCACGTGGTCTGGGCAAATGAGCGTCACAAACACAATCCGCACACTGCACCCCCAATGTCCCGGGCCCTCCTCTGTAGTGGGAGTACCAGTGTCTGGGACCAGTAATCCCAGCCACTCACAAAAGGTAATTACCACAGAAACAACTTTGCCAAGTGGGGAAAACAGCTATTACCTGTCAAGTAAATACCTTCAGGGGACTGAGTCGACACAGCACCCCACAGTCAGCCAGTGACAGTCTCAAAGTGTCCCATGCTCACAGCACCTGGTTTTTGGCTGTCAGCAGACCAGGGAGCTAACTGCACAGACTGCTGCTGTTGTACCACAGGACGGACAGGAGGAGGCTGGGCACTCAGAGCACCATCTCACACCACTCTTGGAGATAATGGCTAGGAAACACCCCATCTCAGCCACAAATGGTACCTCCAAAGCAGGTCAGCAGCCCCTCAGATAGACTGGCCAAGCAGTGCTCCCTCACCTCCTGCCCACCATGCTGCCTGCATCCTGGGAAGACATGGAGTCCTGGCCTGGGCAGGTGGTGGGACCAAAGGGAATCATATCCTCGAGGGTTCTGAGTCAAAGGCCTGCCTAAATGTGGAAACTGGTCAAGTGAAGAAGTAGCAGGTCTTCTATCAGAGAGAGAAAGCTCCATTTGACCAACCATTGAGCGAACTGACTCATGCAAAAACAGCAAAGATTCTATGCACGTGGCTAAACAAAGGCAGAGCCAAGCTTATATACTGCACATTTCCACAACACTCCAGAAATGGTGAATCCACAGGCATCAAGTGCCCGGGTAGGGGGATATTGGACGGTGCTGCAGGCGTGGGGCCCAGTGCAGGGAGCTCACACCAGGTGGAACTGACCAAACAACCATGTTGGTGAGGGAGGCCATGGGGAGGAGGGTGTCCCCCCACCCCCACCCCAGGCTTGGCAAGTAAATGCATTACCTTGGTTGGCAGGTCTGTCTTTGCAAGGTTAGCCCCTCTGCACAACATATGCACATGGCTGAGCAGGCAGAGAATGTCCCCACAGATGGTGGAGCCCCAGCTCCTCACTCTCTGACAAAGATGGGACAAATAAGAACTGGGGGTAGGGGGAGGGCCTGAGGTGCTCGGCCCGATTCAAAGGTGTCCATATGGACATCGGATCCCTAGGATATGCAGGAATACGTGAAAGTATTGCTACTGGACTTCCAGCTCCTACGTGGCATGGACTTACTCCACACAAAAAGTGCTGAAACGGGTCTCTGCCGGCCACAGACAAGTTCTCTCCTGCCTCCGCTCGTGAGGGCGACTTGAAGAAAAGGCTCTGTCGGAGAGGGCACTTCAGAAGCCAGGTGGCTGTTGTGTTGTTTGAGTCTTCTTTTGGTATTCCAAAAGGCGCAATCCTGACAGATTTTCTCAAAAGACACAGTAAGACCACGAGGGTTGATTATGGAAAAGTTTCTGTCAAACAGCGTCCGAAATGGGGAGAAAATGATAAGGAACTTTTCTTCTCCCATCATGATGATGCACATGCTTATTTTTTGAGAACAGCAAGGTTGTCTTTCGAGAATTTCCTATCAATCTGTTGTTTAAAAAAGGAACCAAGAAATGAGCGGCTAAGGCCTTGTCACAGATCAGAGGGGCCAGTAAGCACAGTGACTACCTGCAGGTGGGGGTCTGGGTGGGCAAGGGCCTGAACAGGGGCAATCTGCTCCCTGAGTCTTGCCTTCCTTTCCATCCCCAGGTTGCAGTTACACGAGAAGTCGACACCCGGTGAAGTCAGGTGGCGGTGGCATGAGAACTCTTCTTCAGGCCTAAAGGCAGCAGGCGGGGTTCTGAGCACAGCAAGGGAATGGCACAGGATACAGGCAGCTCCTTCCCTTGTTTTCTGCTTTACAAGAAGCATTGTTGGTCGTCGTAAGATCAAGGAAAAGAATGAGACCTGCACGTATACCACAGCAGACTGCACTGTGACCTCAGGTCACCACTGTGACCACAGGACCCAACTGTGGTCTCACACCCCCATTGTGACCTCAGGCCCAGCCATGGTCCCACAGTTCCTCAGAGGGACAGCCTGAGGCTTGGCAACAGCAGGTACTGTCACTAGCTAAATCCAGGTGCTTGTGTGGCCCCAGCAAATGCCTTGAAATACTCATCCATCCCTATTTTGTGCCAACATCACTGAGCAAGGTAGGTAAATGTAACTCCACTGCTTAAATGCATAGCTTCTGAAGGTGGTGGGGCAGGGGGTGTCATAGAGCGTCAACTACACATACACCTAGAGATGCAAGAGATTTCAAATAGAGCCTGTTTTATTAAAACCGGTTTTGATTGGACTAAATAAAGAAAAGCTGCTCTAATTTCAGACTTTCAAAAAAACTGGCTTATCTAGAAATACCAGTATGTTTGAGAAGCAAACAGGTTTGATGATACTGGGTAAATATAAGTCCGGGTGCGCTTTCCCCATGCACCTCCTCCCACCGGCACTCCAAGGGCCTATCTGTGCACTGCTTAGAAAGCTACGCCCTAAGCTCTGCGGGAGGGAGAGGGCGCCCTCTCCCACCCAGGAGCTGCCATATCTGCATGCTCCTGCACCTGTCTGCTCCCTCTGCAGGTGATGTGACACTCTGCTCACCAGGGTTTCCTAATAGCGGAGGGGCTGCGTCACACATAAAACTCCTCTCTCTCTGCCCAAATCTAGGACACACACGTCGGGACTCGCTGAGCCCGAGGCACCTGATTTCAGCAGGTCCCATAAAAAGTGGCTTTACACCTTTCTTCCTGGGCTACTAACATCCTACAGAGATAGGAGGCGCCGCTTCCACCTTACGCTGAGAGTAGTCCTGTACTTCCAGCCACTTTCAAGGACCACGGCAGGCATGTAACAGCCATGTTTTCTGGGAGCTGCAAAGCATGTTTTTCAAATAAAATGTGAGCCTTGCCCGGGGCTGTCTCCATTCCAAAACCATGAACTCAAAGAGCCAGCAGCCAACATCATGGCACCAGGGGGCCAGGCACTCCTGGGTGGGGCTCCTCAGTGGGGTCACCAGAACGCAGGGTGCCTGTAAGCAAAGGACACTGCTCTGAGTGGCTCACTGTTCTAATTCTGCACAAACTGGCCCTCAAAGGAGAGATATCCATGTGCTAGCCCTTCGCCCCCACACCCATTCTTGCTGCCTGGCGTGGGGGGGTGGGGGAGACTCCGCCATGTCCTGCCTACCCAGATAGCCGCTGGTGCATGGTACATGCTGCCACCTCTCTCACTGACGTCAACACCAGCAGTTACAACAGAGTTTCAGGTGAGGAAATCGAGGGAAGGTGGTGACCAGCACAGCGCTGGAGGCGGCGGCTCAGCCTCACTGCGAACACCCCATCTTCACCTGTCCACGGGGGGGCCCCCCTGCACCTGCCTCTCTGTGCACAGGGCTCAGCAGGTACCAGAGCCAGCACCAACGCCACGCTGGAGCTCACATTCCCCCAGCAGAACTCCAGGAGTCAATTAGACGAATGGGCCACCACACCTCGCTCAGCGTGTAGGAGCCCTGGTGGCGGCCTGAGACACGTACTGGGCTGCTCACTGCAAGATCAGCAGTTTGAGACCACAGAGGAAGATGAGGCTGTCTACTCTCATAAAATGGGCAGCCTTAGAAACCCACAGGGGCAATTCTACTTTGTGTTAGAGGGTTGCTGAGTCAGAACTCACTTGAAGGCAGTACGTTTTTAAACCTCAGAGCACCCCTCAGGTGACCAGGCAGTAGGGGTCACAGGCATGCCACCCCGACCACGCCCCGAACCCCACCCCCACCACAGTTCCTTGGATTCTTATCAGAAGTTTCTATTTCTGAGTTTTGATCTCACTTGTCAATTTCTCCAGGGCACACCACTGAGCTTGTGAAAGAGGTAGAGATGCCCAGATTGTATCACTGGACAGAATTATGGGGCTTCAAAGCTCACAATTAAATGCAGTCATTTGTGAGGGGCCTCGGGAAGCAGAGGGGGGCCCCACCCGCCCGATACTCATGAGGGAGGGCTGGCAGGCGGGAACTCCTGCAGCATCCTCACGCTGACCTGCTAGGTGACTCACGGCCCCGCCCCCGCCCCCGCGGATGCCAGGAGTCCGGATGGACAGGAAGGGCGGAGAACAGCCGCGAACCTGTTGGACTAGACTGAGGAATGGCAAGGCGGCTCCCCAGGTGCAGGGTGAAGGACAGCAGGCGCTGGCCACCTCATCCCTGGTTGAGGGGAGGTCAGACAGGGCATGTGTGAGAGCGGCAGCGGTGGGATGTAGCACATTAGCAATCACAGCACATCAAAGGGTCAAGGCCTCCCACCCCCCACAGAGACCTAGGCCCAGCCCCGGTGGGTGACATGGATGTGACCTGGACACAGTGACCATCCTGTGTGTGGTCTGGGTCAGCTGCCCAGATCTGAGTCCTCCTGGGACGTCTGATGGTATGCTGCCACCAATCTGCTCAGACCAGTGTGTCCAATGGCCACTTGCCCCCAAAGACCACACTGCCCAGGAGATATCCGCACACCTTGAAACCTATCCCCAAATGCTGGCCCTTCACAAACAGGTGTGCTCCAAGACTCGCCCCACAGGCCCTTGCGAGCATCTGTCTTCTGCTCTGGCAGCAGGAGGGTTTGGGCCCCACCCCAAGGGCAGCAAGTACCCCACATTACTCAGCACTGGGGGTCACCTTCTACTCCCATGAACTAAACCCACGCGCACACACACACGCCCCTCCCCCAAAAGGCCTCCAGTGCTGCCATCTTCTCAGACATACGGGGGCAGGCAAGATGAGCTAGGTCTGACCCTGACATGCCACCCTGGGAGCACCCTGCTGAGACGGGTGAGAAGCAGGGCCAGAGCTGTGGCTGACAGACCCAGGGTAGCCGACCTGTGCCTGAAGTGGGGACCCCTGTGATAGAGGCTGGTCTGCCAGCACACTCTTGGGACAGTGTTCTTCCCACAACAAAATGGGCAGCGTCTGGCACACAAACAGTGGGAGGACAATGGGAAGTAGCCCAAGGTGCCTGAGCCTGCATGACCGACACACTGGGACCCTCTGCCATCCCCGGTCTCGGCACCACTGTTGCCATACTGGCAGGCCAGGGAGGGAGTCAGAGCATACAGGCACTCAGGAGAAACTGTATGTGCCTGAGCGGGAGCTTCTCTGCTCGTGGAGGTGGCTGGGCCAGGCTCCTGGAGGCCGGGCTCAGGCCCATGGCCACAGGACACTCACTAGGGCGGTCCTCGTTGCCCACCCCTTAGGTCATCACAATAAAAGCTGACCTTACTATCCTGGGAAGCTAGCTGACAGAACGGGGCATGGCGCACCTACTTTCTTCACCCAGCTGCAAAGTCCTGACGCACAGAGAGCTGTGCTGTGGCGAAGCGGGGACAAGGGACCGAGCAGCAGTGAGCAGGGTGGACTCTGACGGGTCCTCCCCTCCAGCAGGCGCTGTGCCCCGAGAAACAAACACCCTGGTCCACAGCATCTCCCACCACAGTGCCGCAGGCTCTCCTACCCCTCACCATCGAGGACAGGAAGGGACAGACAGACAAGTGCCCTATCTGGTCAGCATGAGCTGCACTGTGACAGACATAGTGTCCCCATCCACTACACTCAGAGCCCAGGCCAGGCATACCAACCACTGCCCAGGGCTCAGGCACTGCCACTGGGCCTTCATGAGCGGCCAGGTGGTTGCCTCCGGCGCTGCAAGAGTGAGGTGGAGGGGAGCTTACAGGAAAGAATACAATTTCAAAATCCATTTTCCACCTCCACTTTCCCAGTAGAAGTAGTGGGGAGGAGTGTTTATGAAACGTGGGGTGATTCACCCCCCTGTGGCCCCCAGTCAGCTGAGTCACATCCCCCAGGCACCACTCTGCTCTGAGTGAAGCAACAGACACAGGGCGCCTCGTCTCCACGAGGAAAAGGCTTCCCTCTTTGCACAGAGAAACAAGGCCTGCTGTGCCCCATCCCCAGCCAACACAGACGCAGATGCCACTTGTGGCTGAGATCTGAAACAGGCAGCAGGGAGCATAAGGCTAGACAGTCAGAGGTGTTGAGGTATTTTGCTAGATGTACTTTTACAACAATAAGAGCAATAACCGACTTAGGGCTTCACTGCCCTCAGGGCCATCTCTAATGTCCTGGGTCCAGGAGGCCTCACAGCACCCAGCTGCCCCTGTATGGCAGACGAGGCACTGTGGGTCCTGACACCAACATAGCTCTGGAATCCTGGAGTTCCCAAGGCTGCAAAGACATAGCGTGCTGCTAATGATGGTTGTCATTGACCATTCATGTCCTGGCCTCAGGGACCAGAAAGCAAGACTGAGGCAGATTCCTTGGTAGAAGCCCCTTAGGGATGAGGCGTGGGCATCCAGGCTAAAAGGCCACACAGGTAAACCTCGGCCTGTCTCCACTGCCCAGCCCCTTCCCTACCAGTTTCCTTCACTGAGAACATCTGACGCACAGCCACCACAGATGCTAGCCCCTCCCCCAAGCCCTTCTCGTCTGGTCACTGCGAAGAAGGGACATCCTGCACAGACAGTCCTCCCTAAGGAAGGGCAGCTACTCAGGCACAGCTACCAGGCCCAAGAGGTGGCACACAGTTGTGGAAGGGACCAGGATGGGGGTATAACTGGGAGAGACAAAACCAGGGAGAGGCACAAGTGTGTAGGTCAGACCCGACATCGAAAGCCTACCTGGAGATCTCCGCCACAAAGGGCTGCAGCTCGGTGGGCTCGTAGGCGCGTGCGAAGGCCCAGCACACGTAGCAGGCAGCGTCCCTGACATTGGCGCCCACGCTGCAGGCGCCCCTCTTCTCATCATAGGTCAGCGCCCTCTGGATTACAGAGACAACTGGGTACAAGAGAAGGGGGTAAGCACATGGCTGTGGCCATGCACACAGGCATGTCATCAGCACAGTTTTCTCAGCTGCTCCACACACATGCCCACCTCAGGCCCTCCTAGTCACCCTGTTACAGAGAAACACAAGTCCACCTGTTCAAACCAAGGACACACCACTCAGGCGGATGTAACCAGGTGAGCTAGACAGAGAAAGGGGCAGAGTCCTCCCTCTGGAAGATAGGGCAACAATAGGGCATCAGGGGGTTGGTGCTGGAGGTAGAGAGCTGAATGGGCCAGCCCGGGTTCCCACTGTCACAGCTTACCACCTGCCCTGGTCACACTGGCCCCCTGTGAGGCTGAGATAAACAGTCATCACGGGCTTAAGTGGAGAGCAAATGTTTTGAGAATGATGAGGGCACTGAATGTACAAATGTGCTTTACACAATTAATGTATGTAAGGATTGTGATAAGAGTTGTATGAACCCCTAATAAAACGATTAAAAAAAGAAAAGAATAAATAATTTTTAAAAAAAGAAGTGCTGAATATGAAACTAATGATCTGCTCTGTAAATTCACAATAACTATCTTAAAACGGGGAAAAAACAAAACACCATAGCCCCTCTGTGCTAACTCACAGCGCGTGTGCTGTCAGCTAAAACACCATGGTCGTTCAGCAGTCGGGCAGGTAACGTATGCAGGAGCTTCAAAAAGTGTGTGGGAAATAGGATTGATAACAGCCTCCTGCAGCCGATTACCCAGGGACTCCGTTTAGAAACATCTAACCGATTTAAAGCTGGATATGTGATTCTTGATGTGGGGGGATTTAAGAAACGCGGTAAGACTACAGGAAGTTTAAATGAACCAAAATGTTATTGGTTTATTAGATTCAAGTATGCCAAGTACTTGGGAAGGTTTTGTTTATTGGAGACACATAAATTAGGCACAAAGAACATAAAATACATCTGTGAACACAGTCAAGGTGTTTAAGGGAGGCAAACTGACTAATGCTGGCGTCAATGTCTCTCCCTAGGGACACAACAGGCACAGCAGCCTCAACCTCAGGGGTCACAATGGGCAGTGGCAGTGGCCATGCACCACAACTCTGCACCAAGAGCACGTAAATCTGCCATCACAGAGGGCTGCCTGCAGTACAACAGCCCTTGGGGCATGGGCATTGCACAGCCTGGCCCTCCTCATGTTTCAGAGTCCATATAGGCAGCAAACAGAAAGAGGATTTGGTTCGGCAGGTGTAATTTACAGGGATGCCATTTAACAGGGCTCTCAAATGTTCATTTGTACATTTGCTGAGCGCCACATGGAAGAGAAGTGCTTTCAGGGAAGACCCGGCCCACCATGAAGGCAGGTGGGCCGTCCAAGTAGGCTGAAGGTCCCACGTGCTTCCCCAGGACACGCTCACCAGGGTGCAGCTGCTGGCTGCAGACCCGTGGTCCAACTCCACATGATGGGGACCACATGGCGCCCCTGGTCCCCAGCTCCACCACACATACACACTGGGGACCCTGTGAGGTAATGTCCTGCAGCCTGGCACCATGTACACACTGGGAACGCAGCTCAGACTCCAGTCAAGTGGCCAAACCTCCCAGAACAGCGTGTTGTAGAGGACCGTCTTCCCCAACTACCCAGCCAGAGCAACGGGCAGTGCCACCACTATGAAGGACCCGAGTCTGGCCGCCGACCTGTGATTGGACCACCCACTGCTGGCATCAATTCCAACCCTACAGGACAGGGTTTCAGAGACTATGGGTCTGTCTCTACAGGAGCAGAGGGCCTCACCCTTCTCCCTAGACACTGCTGATGGGTTTGAACCACCAACCTTCCAGGGCACACCATACCCTTAAGAGGGCCTGCAGCTCATTGTTGTCTGCTCCCACCAGCCAGCCGGCAAGAACCAAGCTTCACTGACCTGAAGGAGGCTCGGCCACCCTGGCCAGTAGCCACCATCTGCATTCTGAGAAGGAAGTGGCATTAGACTGACGAGAAGGCTCCACTGGCTGCTGCAGACACAGTCAAGGGAACAATCACCTTGCCAAAGGCCACCTCAGGCAGAGCAGAGCCTAGGACACTCGAACTGAGCTAGTGCACACGCCCCGGCCTGCGGCTCGGTCACTCTGTCCTAGTGGTAGCCCACTTGAGGCCCAAAACACATCCACACAAACAAGCTGTGCCCCACCCCCACCCCCACCCCCGCCCTGGAGGATGGTGCCCACTTGGACCACCAGGGGACACTGCTCAACAGTTCTGTGGCCACAAGTTTGGAGGGGGGGGGGGGGGGGTTGGGTGCTGTGGTCCAGACGCTGGCTGCAGGGTTCCAGCTTATCAGTTCACTGGACAAAGTCAATTTCAAAACACACGACTAACATGACAGCAGTCTCATCAGATGACTGCGCCCATCACGGCACTGTGCATCTGACACCCAAACTCGGGCCCTGCACAGCCCCGAGAGCCCCCACCAGCACAGAGCCATAACACCTCACTCAGACTGAGACCCTCCCACATTCAACTCACCCCCACCTTGAGCCTATGGTCACCAAGGCACCTGGGGGTGCCCTTCCCATCATCACCCTCAGAAGTTAGTCCTGGGGCGTAAAGCACAAGTTTCGGTTCCCAAGTGAATTCAGGGCCATTTAAAAAGCAGACAAATGAAATCATATTGTTGAGTACGAGGAGGGGTCAGAACAGAGACCCAAAACCCATCTATAGACAATGGAACATCCCCTCACAGAAGGGTCACAAGGAAGGGGTGAGTCAACCAGGGTGCAGTGTAACATCGATGAAACACACAATATTCCTCCGGTTTCTGAGGTTCCCTCACCCCCCACTATCATGACCCCAGTCCTGCCTTTCACCGCGGGCTAGACCGGAACACGTACACAGGTAAAGATATGAGATAAGAGCTTACGACACACGGAATCCAGGAATAGGAATGACAGTAGCAATGCCAGGAAAGTAGGGGAAAGGTGGAGAGAGGAGGAGAGGAAGAGGGACTTGATCGCAATGAACATACCATACATATCCCCACCCAGGGGGATGAACGACAGACACCATGGGGGAAGAGAGACAGCAGTGTAAGATAGAAAAATATTAATAATTTATAACTTATCAAGGGTCATGGGGCAGGGGGGGGCGGGGATACCAAGGACTCAAATAGAAAGGAAATGATTAGAAAATTATGCTGACATATGTACAAATGTGCTTGACACAATGGATGTATGGATTGTTATAAGAGCTGTAAGAGCCCCCAATAAAAGGATCTTTTTATTTTTCATTTTTATTATTATTTTTTAATCATTTTATTAGGGGCTCATACAACTCTTATCACAATCCATACACACATCAATTGTGTAAAGCGCATTTGTACATTCATTGC